TGCTCTGTTGAAATATGGATAAAGACGGAATGGCCAAACATTTCTAATCATCCTCAAGGAATAGCTACAATTCAGACGAAACAGCACTATTACCGAGCAATGTTTGATCATACTTGTTTAAACATCAAAGTGCTAAAGGATTTAAAATCACCGAATGTATGTAGTTTTGTTGTGCTAATAACGCCCGATAAATTACTGGAGTAACATTAAAATTATAATTACTGGAATAATTCATCAAAATAACGATGTTTAAAAATAAACTTAATCATTGTTTTAACATATCGAAATTATCTGATTCAATAAAACTAAAATCTCCAGTAATTATGGTCTAATTACCTTCACTACGTTATCACTTTGTTATCAATATAGTCTGGGCTAAATGATTACAATATGCGGCACCTACTGTACTAATAAATTTAAAACAATTGAAATTTGAAAGTATACCTAACTGCTTTGAGAATAATTATTCCTTCAATTGTCAAATTTTGTATATTCTTTTAAAAATGACTTTTTAAATGAAATAATAAACAAGATTTAAGTATCATCTAGATCAGTGGTTCCCAATTAGTTTTTCCTGTGTACACCACTTCAAGAAAGAGCTCAAACTCGCGTACCCTTTATAGCAGAAATTCATATTAATCCATACTATTAATATAAATTCGAAGGTAATTCTGTCTGCTGTCTGTTACCTTTTCACGTCTAAACCGCTGAACAGGTTTTAATAAAATTTGGCACAGAAATAGCTTACATGTTGAAGATGGCCATAGGCTACATTTTACTATGAGAAAATATCTTACTCCCACGAGAAAATTCGATATAATGCGGGCGAAGCTGTGAGTAGACAGCTAGTGATAAATAGAATAAGTTTTTTTTTACATTTACAGTAGAGCGTCGTTTATCCGAATCAATTGGGGCTGGATTGTTCGGATAACCGATTATGCACGAAAAAATATATTAACCTATCCCACGTTGAAATTTTTCTCCGTTGCGTGTCGCTTCGCGTTGAATTTTCGTCGACGTTAAGCCTAACGCAAACTTTTTAAAATAATCGTGGCTATTGTATCGTTAAAAACTATTTTTTTTTATTTTTTACAAACAAAATTAATATATTAAAAATATAAAAACAAAAACAAAATATACTTTAGAAGTTGATCTAGTATCAAAAACGTTCGATTCAGCACAACACACAGTCCTCAGAAAAACACCACACAAATGTGCCAGCTAAAACACACACACCAACCAAAAAAATATTGGAGTAGCCCAAGATATAGCCAAAGATTGCAGCGCCACAGCACTAGTGAAAATTTAAATTTGCCTACTGGAATTCTTTCGGATAACAGACATTTCGGATAACCGACGCTCTACTGTATATCTGTAGCAAGAGTGATACAAATTGTTTCCTCCATAGCACAATGTCAACTGT